TATATATATATAGAGAGAGTTAGAGAGAGAGAGAGAGAGAGAGAGATGTTACGGTTAAAGTAATAAAACAGGTTATTATTAATAATAACCAATAGTCAATGCGATTAAACCGGTTTTACAGCATTGTGCTATGGGTGTATACTTTGTATACTTTGTGTCTGCAAAGAGCATAGATATTTTTCTCTATGTAGCAACCAACAATCATTCTTTTTATAAAATAAAACATTTATCAAAGAAAAAATAATAATTTTCATGGTTCTCTGATTATGAACGTATTTTAAAAGGATGACTAACAACAAGTCACTGAAAATCTGGAAATAAAACTTTCTATTCGCTATGAATGCCTACTAAAGTTTTATTTTTTTTTCTTGGCAATGATACGGAAAATACGAGATGAAAGGAATGATAGCATATTAAATGTGTATATTATGTAAAGTATCACTTATTCCTAAAAAATTTATAACCATGTGGTTACCGTTCCGAACTCAAATTTTTAAATCTATTATCTATCGCAGTGATCACACAATATATAATTTTGTTCACTTCACTTTATATGATTTATCTTATATTAGGTTTTGTCTTATTTTCATGAAAATACCATTTTATATATTTCATAAAATAATTATGTTAGTCACAAGTTTTTATTTTTTTTTTTTTTTTTTTTTAGGTTTAGTTTCAGTCTTTAAAAGCATGTTTTTTTCAAGTAAAAAAAAAATTTACAATTATCAAATTTTGTTTTTAAGTTCGTATGAATTAAATAGAAAAGCATTACCTCGTGAATGGAAAGTAAAANTGAACTGTTAAATTGAGATTAAAAGCATGTTTCTTTCAAGTAAAAAAAAATTTACAATTATCAAATTTTGTTTTTAAGTTCGTATGAATTAAATAGAAAAGCATTACCTCGTGAATGGAAAGTAAAATTGTTCCGTAAAATTATTTAATGCGAAAGGCAAAAATTGTCACTACCTCTCTTTTTACTTATTTTAGTAATTTGGGGTCGTATTTACTTCATAGCGTGATTGATAGTTAAGCAATGAATAACTTAAAAAATCTTTCTTGCACTTTTTATTCATTTAGAAGGATCTCCAAGTAATGCTTTATGAATCTATTTCCACCAAAGCCAAAAATTGGCAACATTCTACTTTTTATACCAAATGTTAATTTTATTTATTCATTATTATTATTATTATTATTATTTTGCAAGGCTCCTTAATTATCAGAAGTTTGGGATTTGGTTTCAGGAATTATTTTTGCATGCTAAATGGAACGGAATAAAGTAAATATTGATGTTTCTTCAGAAAAAGTGCGTTTTATCTTCAAAATATCCAAATTACGTAACGTTTTTTGCTAACTATTAATTATAATTTAAGATATTGCTTTCAGATATTACTAAAGAACTACACTTTACTGAATGAAAAGCCGACAAGCCTTACTAATGTTTTTTTTTCTTTGCTGACTATACATTAAGGTTTATGCATAGTCTAAGCTGACGTCATCTCATATATCTTTCGACAGTAAATTCCTCAATGATTAATCAGTTACTATGAGCAACACAAGGAATTGTGTCAAGCTGGTTGGCATTCATAATCACAAAATTTCAGCATTTGTTTGGTTTGTGATACAATGATATAAGTCAAGTGATAATTCAGTCTCTGGCTTTGATATCTCTATAAATTACACCCTTTTTCACTATATATAATCCTTTCTTTCCTTGTAAGATTTTAATTTTATAATTCAAAATGTTCCATTGTAAACTTTATTAATAAAAATATATTGCCTCGGCATTTTTTACAGTAAGACCTCTTAGCTAGTTTCTCAAAACCACCACCAGATGACAGACAAAAACTCCAGTTTCGAAAAAGTTGCTCAGTTTGTATGTTACGTCTTTTATCCGAGATTTAATTTTAAGGGTAATTAAGCCAACCAGAACCAGAAATAGTCAGCTGAGAAATAAACAAACACTACAACTATTACTTTTTCCAAATTAGATCTTGTTTTTGTTATGTCATGCTTCAATAGTGCGTTCATTATAAAGAAATAAATAAATAAAATTCATCCTAGAATAGTTATTTTACTACAAGAATATGAGAGCAATCACCTAATATCCCCTATTTACATTTATATATTATGATATCCAGTAGTCTTCCATAATTCGCCAGCTGTTATTGATAGAATAAAATTCTTCGTAGAGTATACAAATCTTCCCCAAGTAATTTTCTTTCATAATATTCTTTAATATTTCCTTGTTTACGCATAATAAACGAGGAAATAATTTATATTCTCAGGCTTTCTTCCTGGGATATGAAATAGTCTTCTATAAGTCATCAGCTGTTATTCATTGAATAAAAATTTTTACACTGTCTTCTACAAGTATATATTTTCTTACAATAATAAATTATTTATTTTAAATATTCTTAATTTCAACTTGATGATTTTTTATTTCTTTACGTTCAAAAAATGATATTTTTTGTTCTCATTATGCAAACAAGATGATTTAATTACATTGTGCCCATTTTATTTCATCTCTCCTTTTAAATTCAGGATAAAAACAAATTTCTCCTCCCAAAAAATACTTATATTTTAATTTTTTCTGTGCTTTTTTTTTTTTAAACAAATTTATTTTCTTGTACAGAAAAAGTTTTTTATTTGATTACTTTTTATTCATCCAAATTTTTTATATTTCTGCAGATATTGCAACTTACTAATTAATGTAAACACATCCTCTTTTATTTTATCTTTCTTTTTAAAATCAGGATAAAAACAAAGTATTCTTACCTAGAAAACTCTGTTTTAAATATAAGTGTGTGTTTTTAAAGAAAAAATTTTTTTGTATGTATACAAATTGTAAAAACAATTTATTTCTTCTAATTAAAGAATTTCTAAAATAAAATTGCTTTTGGCTTTTGTTCATTTTAAATCAGTTATGGAACCTTTTAAATGAGTGTGTAACGTAGGGGATATTTCCATATTGTGATCTATCACTCCAACTACAATCACCAAGGAGCCAAATTGAAATAAACTTCAAAAAAATTGTTTAGAAAAATCTGTAGTGGTTTGCTGGAGATGGCTACCAAATATAACCTTAAAGTTAGATTCTTTCTGTGATTATTTTTTAATTTCTTGTGGGCAGCTACTCAGAAGTTATGCAGACTTGGTGATTATTCTGTCACAGATCACAATATAGAAATCTTCCTGTAATGTGCTACCAATTGAAGTCTTGTAATGTTTAATAAGAATTTATTTTGTGTAAGTACTTTATATTTTACCTCCAATGATTAGATGAAATATTACAAAGAGCATGTTATAATCACAATTATGATGAGGCATGCTTTATTTTGTGATTAAAACAAAGACTAAAAAACAAACCAAATCAATATACTATTCTTTTTACAATCAGTTGATGGTGTTTCCTACTGTTCTCAGGGGTCTGTCTATGGCAAATTTACTGCCGTTAAGCGGTAGCTTCATAAATTCAATTTTTAGGAAAAACGGTAGTTTCACAAATTCAATTTAAAGAAAAACGGTAATTTCACAAAATACTTTTAACATATTTTCGAAAAATATTTAGGTAAATATTTTTGAAAATATTTTCTTATTTTCCGTATGTTTGTGTTGAGTTTTTAATATAATTTTTAAATTTCACAAATTATGTCTAACTTTTCACAAAATAGGTACCTCTAAAAAAGCAGACAGACCCCTAGTTCTAGATAATCACTGAAAATTATTCCTAGATTAACCGTATCAGATTTTAATGGGCATGTGTTATTAGACTATTGTTAAATATGAGTCCTGGTATGTTGAAGTTCTGATTGGTCTATTTTTTTGCTCCACTTATCCTTATTTCCATTCTGTTTTTTTATGTAGCTATTACTATTGATTTTGACATAGCTTTTAAAATCCTATACTTTTAATACGATATTGTATATTACAACACTCTCGAAATGAAAACACGCCTTTAGTAGCCCCTTTGCGAAGAGTCCAACTCGCATGATTTCACCGTCAATCTTTTTTTCAATAGTTACTGCTACGGATTTCCCAATTTTTTTAATGTGATAATGATTTACAATGTGCGAAAAGGGAAATAATTAGTGTGATTTCCCCCTACAAAATACGAGAAAATCGGCTATATTATAATTTTAAAAAATTACATATTCAAATAACAAAGTTATATTATTTAATTTAACTGAAAAGTTATTCTTTTTATTTATTTGTGTTTTGAAGTTGACTCTTCTCTTACTTTAAATTAGTAACCTGTATATTTGATATTTTTAAAAATATCTTGCAGAAAAATATATTTGTATTAGAGAGGCATGTTGCAGAAAGCCTGAAAAAATTCTACCTCAGGGGTCTTATCTGGTTGATACAGTTGAAACTATAATGTCTAAAAATAACAATTGAAAAGAAAGCGCCTAAAAATGAAAATGGGAAGAAATAATTTTTAATACTGTTTTCTTTTATTGCTCATTTTTCATTAAAAAGTATGTGTTAGCTTCAGGATTAAAATAGCTCTCGCTGTTTCCTTCTGATTTACTTGTCTTCTTACAAGTTGAAAATTACAATATTCTGAACTGTTAAATTGAGAAAAAAAAAAGAGAGAGAAGAAACAAAAGTAATAAGGAAAAATTTGGTGGGATTTCAATGGGTTTTTATTTCTGAACCAAAATAAACTAAGTTGTAATGGAAGTGAGTTGGAACAAAAGGGAAGTCGAAAATTACCTACAAAGATAACAAGTCTTCTTTTCTTTACATAGTCTTAAAAATGAGTTTCGAATTTTGTGTAAGTTTCCAAAGAAAAGCATGTTCTCAGCTTTATATTTGGGAGTATATGGTAATTAATATTTTTAGCTACATAGTTTTTACTAAGCATTTACATCTAGCAGAATTTTGTCATAGCAGTTATATGGGCTTGAATTGACAAATTTTATTGTTTCGGTGGATTAATTTTATATTTATTGATAAATATAAAATTAAACGACCCCTGGTCTATAATATTTTTCTGATCAAGAAAAATTGAAATATTTTTAATAAACTGGTCGTTATATAATAATAAATACCTGCTACCTTTAAAGTTGCAAATTTGTAGGAATATAAGTTCAGTTGCCACTGTGAAAATTGTTCTTATATGTGTAACCTACTAAATATTGATTTTTATTTTGACTTTTCAAAAATAAAATTGTCTGTCAGCATTGAATGATTATTTAAATCACTTGGATATTTTGATATGACAGAAAAGTATGTCACACAACTTTATTTGGACTTGTAAGCTATACTCAATTCCTAAATCATATTTGTAACTTCAATATTTTTTTTTTTTTTATTGTAGATTCAGTTTAAATGGCGACAACGAAAATTCCAGAGCAAAAAGTTATTTTATGTGGAGAATTTGGTGTTGGAAAAAGCTCTCTGTTTAGAAGATTTGCTATGAATACCTTTGTTTCTAATTCTGATAGACATTCAACATTAGGACTTGATCATTTTGATAAAGTATATAAGCTTCATGGAAGAAATGTTCGTGTGAGTAAAGCTTCTGAGAAATTTTTTAATTAATTGTGTGTTTATTTCTAAGCATAACATATTTTCTGTTCAAAATATTGGTTATCTCTTGTCTCTAGAATAGGGGTACACAATGTGCCTTACTCATATCAAATGTGGCCCTCTAATGAATAAGTTGCAGCCTCGTGCCTTCTTCTATTAGCCTGGCAGTCTTTTGTGGACCAGAGCCTTCCCTATAACCTTCCTCCATTCTGCAATTTTTTGTGATTGCTCTCCTGTTAGAAATTCTTAGGATTTTGAAATCCTCTGCCACCTGATCTTATGCCTACATCTAACTCTAGTTCCCATTGATTTGTAATTGTAGATCATAAAGGTCAAGGATAAAGGGTCCATTTGACAGATGTGACTTGCATGCTTTTATCCTCTCATTTTGATGTGTTTGTTGACATTAGCTTCCTTAAATAGCCTATGTAGTTCAAAATTATGTTGTCTTCATAACCCATCCATATTTATAGCACTGAATATTTTTCCCAAGACAGCCTCATGCCTTCCAACTGAAATTAATTTTTTCTAAAATGGTGAATTTGAATAAGAAATTTTATAATTTATGATAAACCTTGAGAAAAAACAAGAAAATAATGACATTTAAACCCCAGAATTTAGAGTTACTAATTCAAAGTGTCAAAAAATTTCAACCTTTTGACTTTTCAATTTCTTAATACAGTAAATCAAAGATGTATTTAAAGAATAAAAATGTAAATAATTTATATACAATCTGTATAAAACTGATTTTTTAATTCAAAAATATTTTGACAAAACTTCGGTAATTGAAGAAATCAAAAAATGAGGAATGTTGAAGTAGTCAGCTGTACATGTTGACTATTCCTAGTCATAATTTTTCGCATTTATCTAAAAATGTGTAGCTTGTATTTTTAATTACATGGAAGAGTATATAGGAAGTAGAACTTTATCCTAATAGAGTAAAGCATTTCCTGGCCCATAACGGGCCAGGAGGGTCATGGAGGTTAAGGCTCTACAATTTTGAGACCAATGGCATGATTGTGGCAATGTGGTCCGCACTGCACACAGGTTGCCTTTACTTCCCGGATAAGTTGGTACCCATTGATCGGAAACTGGGTGGGTTTCAAACCGACGCCCCAGTTGGGAACTTTATCCTATCTGGCTATTGTGCCATCTGCCGCATTAGACTGTATAGTCAAGAGCATATTGTATTTTGTAATTTTTAAAGAGTAATATTGTCTTTTTATTCTTTTGCTACTGTATTCTAATTAATTATATTTTTTCTGTTATTCTTTAGCTTCAGTTATGGGATACCGGTGGAATGGAAAGAGTTGCTTCTATTACTAGCAGCTATTACAAATTTGCTGAAGCTGCTATATTGGTTTTTAGTTTTGATAGTCCTGACTCATTCAATATTCTATCCCAACACCTGCTAGACATAGTGACTTACGCTGAAAGTGCCAAAATATTTCTTTGTGGTAACAAAATTGACTTGCTCAGTCAAAATTCTGATCCTTCCATTACAGATGCTGACATAGAAAATTTCTGTGAGCAGTGCCATAATTTAGTAAGCGGAGTCTATAAAACTTCGTGTAAAACTGGAGCAGGAGTGGAGGAAATGTTTACGGACATAGCACGCCAGTTGATTGGCACGAGCAGAGTTAAAGATATTGAACAAGAATTAAATGACTCATTCAAAGTTTGTGCTCAAGATGAACCAAATGAATCTTGTTCTTGCTAGTATTCTTAATAACATATAGAGATGTTGCTTGGAATGTTTATTTACATTACTAATTATTATAGTGATTTTGTGAAACTAGTCACTAAATTAGTATATAAGGCTTTTCCTTTTTTTATACAACTTTATTTTTAAACGCTATTATTCACTAATGGCCAAATAATATTCACTACAAACACTTATTCTTTGACCTTTAATTCTACTGTTATTTCCTTGTGTTGTGTATTTCTTAAACTTGTTATTCTTTTTCTTTTTATCTTATCATTCTTTATCTTTTCATATCTTTACTTAATTTGAATTTAATTTGTTACATTACAGAACAATGTTAATTACTTAAATTCATATATCTTATAAAAGATAGTTGATCTTTCAAAAATAAGTCATTAGTTTTTATTCTTATAACATAAGATGACAACTATGTTTTGTAGTCTATGTCTATCATCCAAATCCATTCACCTTTGTCCAACCATATGTGGTAATGACTGCATATACATTTTGTTTAACTCTTATTTTGTCAATTAAGTTGTTATTAGTTAATTATGGCATTTGAGTTGAAATGTGTTGTTTTAAAGTACTTGATTTTTTTTTAAAAAATATTAATAATTTTTGAAAATATGCAGATAGTTATAAAGGTTGACATGTACTCAAAAATAGGCACTCATTCTTTAGACTTGCCAAATGTGTATAGGAGTCTATTTTTGAAGGCTTGCAACTCATCTACAAGGAAAAAGAAAGCATTCATGCCTGGCAAGTCTTGAGAAAGGATTTCTATTTTTCAGTGCTTGAAACATGTTGACTTTTATTTCCATCTGCATATTTTTAAAACCAATAAATGGTATAACTAAACAAACTATCCACTTAAAAATTTAATCTTAACTTAAGTCAATTTTAGCTATGAAAGAAAAATCGGAAATGTTAATTTGTTGCTCATAAAATCAAGTAATTTTGTCTTTAAATTAATAGATTTTCTTCTATTATATTTTTACTGCAGCTATTCATTTTTCATGGTGTTTTGCTATTATTATTGCATTATGCTTAGGTCATAATTTAGTGAGATTTGTTTTTTTTTTAAATATTTGTATCTTCTTGGGCATTATGATCAAAAATGCGCGTAACTGTTAATGCAATGTGAGAGTGACTTGCATAACATAAATTTTGTAATAATTATTGCAAAAAACGAAGTTTTCACAAAATATTTTCATAATATGAGCTTTAAGAATAAAACTCCAAAGCTGATTTAATATTGATTCAAATATAAATTTTTCTAAGAGTAAATTGAATCTTTTAAGTGTTTTTATTTTTGATATAAGTTTGAATTTGTTATTTAATATTTATTTGAAGAAATAAAAATATGGGAAAATACTTGATTGTAAGGTTATATTTTTGTCATGAAAAATGTCAAAACTGGTTAAAACTGTCAATACTAATGATTTGACTATACTAATGTATAACATGATTATATACTAATATTTTAACTGTGTTTTTGATGTGACTATTTTATCCATTATTAAAAACAGTAAAAAATTTAGGTGTGTCTTAAGCTTGCCAACTTTAAGTGCACTGTATAAAAATTTTAATCAAAATGTATGTAAGATATAATATGGTAGCAGAATGTATTAACTCTTTTTATGTTTAGAGGATTGAACTTCTACACTCTTGCTTTTGTAACCAAAATATACTTTATATTTGACCATTTTGTATCAGCTTGTTCAAAAGTGTACATTTTAATATATTTTGTGTACAAATTATTTATTCTGGGCACTTAAGTTATATTAAAGTTAATTTATATTACAGAGGCAATACACCAAATTTTTTATTGGCCTTCATACTCCTAAACTTCTTCAAAATATTAAAGTGAGATTTATGTGGAATTGGTGAAGTTATTAAGTGAATAGTTTTTGATTGAGTTAACTAACATGAATTATTTATTTAATATGCTTATATTTTATGTGAGCTTTGATGACCTTAGGGGTTAAGGCGCTGAGTTAAAGGACTGGTGTTTGATTGCCCGTAGCAACTTGAACCCAGCTTCAAACCGACATGTACCAGCTTATCTGGGAAGCATAGATTGCATGTATGCAGCGTTGATTGCATTTCCTATTATGAGACTAAAGTATCATGACACCATTGGTTTTGAAATTGGGTTGGTGAAACCTTAATTTCCTTTGCTGACAACGGACTGTTGAGGAAGCACTTTGCTTCTTTTTTTTCTTTCAAAGGAGAATATTTTGAAGGATAAAAACTGATCTAGCTAAATACTTTTTCATTAAAATATGTAGCCTGTTAAAAAAATAAAAAAGCAAATGCTTTTTTCTAAAATCCCTCATTTTTAAGTATTCTTATTCTTAAGTATTCCTCATTTTTAAGTACAAATTGTTTAAAATAAGATGTTACAAGAATAGCTAGGACATCTTGATAATATTTCTGATTAATATATATTTCGCGCTCCCATGCCGCGGGTCCTGGTTTCTATTTTAAGACTGGGCAAGATTGACTCAACCTTCCATCCCTTTAGTGGGTTGATAAAATGAGTTGCAAGCATGCTTGAAGACTTAGCTCTGGAGATTCCGCATTTAGCTGACCATCCAACTGGAATGTCTGCTCTGGCACTCCACAGCCCAAGGGGTGGCCATGGTAGACCTTGACCCTCAGTGGGTTGTCGTGCCTCTAAATTCAGTTTTATATATATAATATGCTTGCTTATATATATCAGGGGTCTGTCTAGGCTTTTCTGAGAGGTACCTATTTTGTGAAAATTTAGACATAATTTGTGAAAAATTAAAAATTATATTTAAAAATCCAACACAAGAATATGGATTTATCATTTCTTAAGGAATACAAAAATAAAATTTTAAGAAAAAGTATTTTGTGAAACTACCGTTTTTCCTAAAATTAAGTTAGTGAAACTACCGTTTTTCCTGAAGTTGAATTTGTGAAGGTACCGCTAAATGGTAGTAAATTCGGTCTGGACAGACCCCTGTATATCTATAACTAAATTACAATGATTACAATAAAATTCTAAATAAGACTCCTAAAAATTTCTTTTATGTCCCCATAACCGCACTAACATAAATTGAAAATATGTATAAGATATTCATTACTTACGTAATCTGAGGGTTTTTGAAATTGAACGATAAATATTTGGGTGCTACAAATTATTTTTATTCATCTAACTTTTTACATGCTTTTTATAAATTTTTATATCTTATTAACTATGTTTGTCAATAATTTCTAAGTGTTAAATCAGTTTCTTAGTACCTATTCCCTTCCTATTTTACCACATATACTTTTGTATTTCATTTATATGTTAGTTTTGATGTGAAAATTAAACAGAAAAATCTTCTTATCTTTCGTAAATATAACTAGAAACATAAGCTGAAGATTTAATAATTGTATACTAATTTAAATTTTTGGACAACTATACTTTTGTGTGTTAAAATAGCCTAATGTGGAAAAATTGCTATCATGTAGCACTGGTAAACATTAGTACACTCATACGTCACCAAATAAATTATTTAACTAGACTTTTTCATAGAAATTGGCATTACATTTTGCATATTTATCTAGATTTTAATATTAAAAAATTGATAAAATATAATATTAAATATTTAAAAGTCCTAAAATTGAAAGTACATTGCACATTTTAATTGGTTATTGTTATAAAATGAAAACATTTATTGAAGTATTTATACGGACAAATTTTCAACTGTATTAAAACTGGTTCAGTATTATAAAACTAAATAATTCATTTAAAGTAGTTTTACTGAATACACAGTAAACATTAATGTTTTTCTGTTTACCTCCAAAGTAATGTAATGATAGTTTCAATGTTAATTGAAGTTTAATGAAAGTTTTAATATTTCATAATTATAGTAAGAAAATGAATGTGTTTTGGATGTGTTCTATTTTAATCTGTATTTAAATAAACGTTGTTTTTATCATAATTACAAGCAGTTAATAAATTCTACATTTAATATGATTAAATATTATAATATAAATATTCACTAGTTTATTAATGAAACTTGATATTTCACTAGGAACTCTTTCAGAGGTGGTATGTTATGAATTTTTTACAATAATGTTAACAACAAAAATTTTTCTAGTTTTTATCTCTTGAACTATGTAGTTTTTAATCAATCACTTAAACTCTTTCTCCTCTGACATTGCATTTGTTCAATACTAAGTTGTAGTGTGAGAAAAATGTAGGAGGAAATTAGTGATAAGCTAAGTTGATAATTTCTATTTTAGTTTTAAAAAATATGACAAATGAATTTCAGATCTAAGCATAACTACTTTCGTTATTAATATATTTTGATTTAACTCAATTAGATTTTAAAAATCCAATAATTGTGGCATCAGTTTTTTATATTTTTTTAAAAAAGTACATGTGAAATTATGAAAATTAGGACGATAGTTAACTTGTTAAATTTTGAAAATTATTAAGATAACGCAAATCATTTAAGGTAAACGTGTATTCTGCACACAATTTGTATGGTTTTCATGATTTGAATTTTGTTTCAAAATTTACATCCCGTAAAGTGTTAAGAAACTGTTTATGATGTTTGATTAGTACTGAATGTGTTAATATGATTTTAAAAAAACTATAAAAGATTTCCTAATTGAAATTGTATTTAATGATTAATATTTAATGCTTTAACTTCATTCAAATATTAGATATTTGAATACATTTATGTATAGCTCATTTCAATAATATTTAATCGTAATTTCTTGCCAATATAGTTTGTTAAAAAGTTTGTCCCATTTAATTAATTCCAAGCAAAATTATTTTACTGTCTAGTGTTTAAAAAATTAGGTTGCTTTTTGTCTAGAACCAACTGAATAGTGTTTTTACTGACCTCTAAAAATGTTAAAAGCTAACTCTAGAAATTATTTAATTGTTATTAATATGGAGAAGACGTTTGTATGGTTTTAATCTTTCATGTATTGATGATTTATATGAACAAATGTAACTTCCTTATTTTGATGCAAACTGCATCATATTTTAATAGATACTTATTTACTAATAAATATTACCAAAGAATACTCTTGTTCATTTATTATATACTTATTTTAATTTATTTTCTTTTACTTAGCAGGGTTAAACGAAACAAATTGTCAGAATTGTATGAGATGATACACAACTTTCACCATAGAATGTAGGGCAGACGAAAAAGAACAAAACGCGGAGGAAGGTTCCAGCTTGAAAAAAATTGAAGCTACAACTAAAAGAGGCAGAAAAACATTTTTAAAAGAAGTTTTTTATTGAAAACTAAATTAAAAATGCTCGAATGAATGACCACCAGCTGCTGTACTACAGAGTTTAGTCTTCCTATCGGTAACGTTTTGAGCCACATAGATACTCATATTAGCAAATTTCTGACATTTATACTTTAATTTACTGCATACCATTTAATTTGCTTTTATTAGCAGGTTCTATTAAAAGTGTAACAAAAATATCAATTGAAGTGCTCAATGTTAAAAGGAGTATGTTACAAATCTGCACTTTCGAGAAAAACCAAAATAAACTGTCAATTGAGGAAAAATTTTTTTAAATGCTTCTAAATTGTTGGATTCTCTTCTTTAGGCAGTCTGAAAAATTACTCAGTATTTGATAATTGGTGAATGACATTCCAAAACCAAATAAAAAACTTATTTTGGTAAAAATGTTACACTGTAAAATGTTTAACTCTGCTTCAATGTGAAACTTTTTATTTTTCTTATGATTTTATTATTACAAAATAAATTTTTACAGTTTCTTAATGATACGAAAACATGAAAATGAATTATATTTGATGTATTATCCAGATGAAACGATCAGTAGGTTTTGTGGTTGCGCATTTGCCGTCATAAAACATTCTTGCTTGCCATAAGCTCAGCTTGTGACATATTTGGTAAAATGGCTATTAGCTCTGCAATTCCTTGGTCTAACGAAATGGTAGAATTGAAACCCAGTTTCTTTATTTTAGCATAGGATACGTCATAATCTCGTTGATCTTTGTCCTCCCCCTCCCCAACTGAAATCTCACAACTGGGAATAAATCGCTGAATCTGTGTAGCTGCATTAAGTTTTGTCATGTTCATCGTTTCATCACCAACATTGAACGCCATACCTGTAAATATAAAAGGAATTTTCATGTTCAAACGATTTTTTTCTTATAAAAATTTACACAAATTGTCTTAAACTGAGCTGATGGATAAAAACTTGATAGATAAAAAGAAAATTTTTTCTTTTTTTTTTTTAAGTGCTTAAAATTTTATCCTTAGGAAAATTGAATTTTCATTTGGTAAAACGAAATGAGTTTCTGTCATTTCATTAATGAAAAAAGGGCGATTTTAATAAATGATCAACATATTCTTCATTTTTTTTCGATTAAAGCAATATTGGGATTTTATTTGGCTATTGAAATATACATCTAATTAAAAAAAGTTTAAATACTTTTTGATTGAAATGTTTTATTAATTGCTTCAATTTTTACAATTTGAACATTCTAATTAAAGAATACTGGTGAACAAATAGCAACAAAAAAGTTGTTATCCTAAATTTTTATAATTTTATTTATTTTATAATTTATTATTTTTATTTAATATATCATGACACCTATGTATTTACTTTTGATTTTTAGCTAGGTGTAGATTATAATTTTCAAACGTTTCTATAAATGACATATTTTAAAATCGCTTGTCATGCTTCTATTTAATATTATTTATACAAAATTAATATTCATTAAACTTTTTTTTGATGTAAAATACCAATAATTTTTTTCATCAGTTCAATATGAACTAACTCTGTAAAATATAAAGCTATGATAAATTTGTACTCATATTGCAATCATGATCACTGAAATTTATAAAAAAAAATAATGTACCATTAACTTAGCCACCCCTTAAATTTATAGCATATTAAAATTTGCATAGTTATGAATACATAAGTTGAGTTTCATTAGTAGTAGGCATTTTATCAAATTCTTTTATAGTTTTATACAATTCATATGCATATAAGTCTGAAAGTCTATGTATGAGAAAAATTACTGAATTTTCAATTTTTTTTTTTTAAATTCTCCACCCCATAAGAGAAAAAAAAATTCATAAATGCGCCCCTGGTCTTTGCTGTTACAAGTGGGATATTTAAATCAAATCTAACATTAGCATATTTGTAGAATGTAATGAAATTGAAATGTAGTAGAGAAAGAAAAAAAACAAAGACGTACCTCTCATAGCTTTATAGTTATCCAGAGCAAAAAGGAAAGCTTTAGCGGCATCCCGTACATGTAGAAACGTTCTTCTGAACCAACCTTGGTAGAGGCTGAAGTTTCCATCATTAAGGGCTTTCATTGTCAAGTCATTGATTAACAAATCTAAGCGTATTCTTGGCGACACTCCGAACAAAGTTGCCAATCTCAGAGATACACCTCCGTTGTTTAGAACAATGTCCTCGGCTTCAGCTTTTGTTCTGCCATACAGGGTTAAAGGGGATATTGGCGTTTCCTGTTCACAAATTCAACATTAGTTAACTAACAAAATAAAATTTCCTGAAAATCTAAGATGTTCTATTTGAACCTCCACCTTCCACTATTAACCTCCATATTCAACTCAGCCCGAATGCTTTAACACTTAATAAATGAAGATGATCCAAATCTCTCTTGTAACAATTATGGTTTATGCAATGTAGAAAGTTTGTGTACTCCAGCAAATTTTGAACGGCTTTATCAACACATGGATGGAGTCCGCTTATAGTATGACGGTTACTCAAAGAAACCACTTGTTAATTAATGTTTTAATGTTAATATCTCAAAAATGATAGAGATTATGAGAAGAAAAAAAAATTAAAGGTACTGACTGTTTCGAGTCCCTTAAAACATGCACTGTTTTAAGAAAAAATATTTAATTGATACTGCAGTACAAATATGATAATGAAGTAATCAAAGTTCTATTTTTAGAATCTAGATAAAAACCTGTATTTGCAGGATGCGTAGCGTTTTTAAAAAGTGCTTAAAGGTGCTTATTTTTGATTTATGTTTTTTAAAAGTCCTTAAAGGTGCTTTTTTTATTTGGTGTTTGTAAAAAGTGCTTAATTTTTTATCTTTTAAGAAGAGATTTTTTCTTTGCCGTATCGATTGTCGTTCTAAATTACAAAAAAATCATGATTTTTATAATTTTCTCTCCGATATTTATCAGAAACTAGTTATTTTATCATGATTATGTAAAGTTTTTGATAATGTTTTTGAATTTTATTGATTTTATGTTTATAAATAAAGAGTTTTAAAAGGATAGAAAAAATAATTTTTGTTACTGCACAGATCCTAAGTATATATATATTTTTTTTTTTGGAAAGTGATTAAAATTATTTTTTGAGTGCTTAAAAGGTGCTTATTTTTTGATGAAAAATCTGGCTACGCACCCTGATTTGATGTAACGCAAAAGGGGTCACGAGAGTATTAAAGCATTTTTATTTTAAATATTGCTATGGCAAAAAAAAAATTACAATTTAATCTGGCACATGCATGAAGCTTCCTTAAAATAAATAAATAACATATTCATATGCATACCTCGGTGCAGATCCCTTCAATGGCACCATAGCAACTGCCTGTACTAGAGTATACCAATTTTTGATGTGGTTTCAAACATGATACTAATATCTGCGTACCCGTGACATTGGTGGTTTGGGCAAGGAGAGGATTCTCATCACATGCCGGATATCCAACAATGGCGGCCAAATGTAAAACCGCGTCTACATCTTTGAGAGCTTTTGAAAGAGCTTCCTTATCTCGAATATCTCCTTTGACGATGTGGAGTGATTTATTATTCACATGAGCCAATAGAGATGAAATCCCGAAGTTGAAGAGATCGAATACTGTTACCTGCACAAAGAAAATTAATCGATTAAATTATGCCTAANTTTGTTCTGCCATACAGGGTTAAAGGGGATATTGGCGTTTCCTGTTCACAAATTCAACATTAGTTAACTAACAAAATAAAATTTCCTGAAAATCTAAGATGTTCTATTTGAACCTCCACCTTCCACTATTAACCTCCATATTCAACTCAGCCCGAATGCTTTAACACTTATTAAATGAAGATGATCCAAATCTCTCTTGTAACAATTATGGTTTATGCAATGTAGAAAGTTTGTGTACTCCAGCAAATTTTGAACGGCTTTATCAACACATGGATGGAGTCCGCTTATAGTATGACGGTTACTCAAAGAAACCACTTGTTAATTAATGTTTTAATGTTAATATCTCAAAAATGATAGAGATTATGAGAAGAAAAAAAAATTAAAGGTACTGACTGTTTCGAGTCCCTTAAAACATGCACTGTTTTAAGAAAAAATATTTAATTGATACTGCAGTACAAATATGATAATGAAGTAATCAAAGTTCTATTTTTAGAATCTAGATAAAAAACCTGTATTTGCAGGGTGCGTAGCGTTTTTAAAAAGTGCTTAAGGGTGCTTATTTTTGATTTACGTTTTTTAAAAGCCCTTAAAGGTGCTTTTTTTATTTAGTGTTTGTAAAAAGTGCTTAATTTTTTATCTTTTAGGAAGAGATTTTTTTTTGCCGTATCGATTGTCATTCCAAATTACAAAAAAATCATGATTTTTATAATTTTCTCTCCAATATTTATCAGAAACTAGTTATTTCATCATGATTATGTAAAGTTTTTGATAATGTTTTTGAATTTTATCGATTTTATGTTTATAAATTAAGAGTTTTAAAAGGATAGAAAAAAATAATTTTTGTTACTCCACAGATCCTAGGTATAATGATTTTTTTTTTGGAAAGTGATTAAAACTATTTTTTGAGTGCTTAAAAGGTGCTTATTTTTTAATGAAATACCTGGCTACGCACCCTGATTTGATGTAACGCAAAAGTGGTCACGAGAGTATTAAAGCATTTTTATTTTAAATATTGCAATAGCAGAAAAAAAAATTAAATTTTAGTCTGGCACATGCATTAAGCTTCCTTAAAATAAATAAAATATTCATATGCATACCTCGGTGCAGATCCCTTCAATGGCACCATAGCAACTGCCTGTACTAGAGTACACGAATTTTTGATGTGGTTTCAAACATGATACTAATATCTGCGTACCCGTGACATTGGTGGTTTGGGCAAGGAGAGGATTCTCATCACAGGCCGGATATCCAACAATGGCGGCCAAATGTAAAACCGCATCTACATCTTTGAGAGCTTTGGAAAGAGCTTCCTTATCTCGAATATCTCCTTTGACGATGTGGAGTGATTTATTATTGACATGAGCCAATAGAGATGAAATCCCGAAGTTGAAGAGATCGAATACTGTTACCTGCACAAAGAAAATGAATAAATTAAATTATGCCTAAAATTAGATTTAGAACTTTTTTTAATTAAATCAAGAACCAATTCTCTAATATAATTACAATTTATCCACTAAATTACAAACAGGAAAGTTTGGAGTTGTACGTAGACATACATTTTTTTACGTGCATATTTCTAAGAGGCAGTCAATTGTCAAACACCCTATACATGCAACTGTGCGTATACTCTAATGCGAAATAAACAGAAATCATTGTATAGGATTCATTTTACTCTTAAAAGAGGAATTTTGTTTTGAAGAAATTACTCCTACCATATCACTGTAATACTCGTGACCTATAAAATGAAATTTCATTTATTTAAGTTTGCTTTGCAACAGATCCAGCTGTTGTGATTTAGCACAAAAATCCTAAATAACGAATAATACTAATAGAATATAGAATTTGCAGTCGCGAAATTTTGATCGACTTAACTGCGTCGAACTCAAATTAATCATTGCTAGAAACTATGCCTGTTATAGTTGTAAAAGTGAATAAAATAAAGAAAAGGAAGAATTGTGACTCGGTCATTACAGAGAGTAATTACTGAAATAGATATACTCTCGATAGAATTAGACATCTTTCTAATAATTTCAGTCGACTAAATGTGACTTATGCGTCTCCGACGACGTTACATATACAGCCTACAAAAAGAAATTGCACGTGAACAGAAAAATCACATTCTGTAAGAAAAAGTAGTAAAACGAAACACCATGCATTGCCAGAACGCAGTTGCACTAATCATAATTAGACCAGCTGTTTGAAAAGAAATTGCATATACTAATTACAATTAAAAATATTTACACCATATATATATATATATATTGTGGTTTAGATATATTTTGCACAGTATTGTATTCTTTGAACATACTTTAATTATTCATTTGGAACGTTACCTTTTTTTGAGAAAAATATTAAGATCATTGCGGTTATACCCAAATTTTAAGGAACAAAAATCCGGCGGGAAAAAAAACATATTTCTTCAGAGGAAATATTAGTTTTCGTGATTAACTTTATTGCAATTGTATTCTCTTATTAGTACATCTAGTTACATTAGTTGACGCTCTCAGTTTATGAAATATTTCAAGTAAAAATAGAAGTTGAATAAGTCACCATGAATATGTTTAAAGTAATGAATCAAGTTTTCAAATGCAATTTTTATAAAAAAAAACAATTAAAAAACGGACACTTTGAATTAACTTTTGATCTAATGATCAGATTTTCATGTACTTGAACTCACTTTTACTGTTTCCAGAGGATAACTTTAAATGTTCTAATTAATTTCTACTGAGGATATTTTAACATACACAAAAACGTATTTTTTATGAACATGCATTTTTATTTCGACGGGTTTTTGACCCTCAAAATATAGGAAGTAACAACAATGTGGAAAATATGGCCCCAATAGGAAAGCGGTCGAAGGCCATATTTCTGGAACTAATGTTGTTGTTGTTAATTTACGTCGAACTAGAGCTGCACAATGGGCTATTGGCGACGGTCTGGGAAACATCCCGGAGGAGGATCCGAAGACGTGCCATCACAATTTTGATCCTCTGCGGAGGGGATGGTACCCCCGCTTCGGTAGCCCGACGACCTGCGCGCGAAGTCGAGCACTTTACGGTAGCACAGTTTAACGAGGACCAATACCGCACACCCTCGGTCCCTACGCAGACTGATCCAAGTGGTCACCCATCCGCACACTGACCGTAGCCAGTGATGCTTGACTTCGGTGATCTGCTGAGAACCGTGTCTTAACGATCAGTCCACTGCGGGACTCAGGAGCTAATGAAAAGTATAGAAAGAAATGAAAAGTATAGTCTACGATAATGAAACCTGTTTTTTATAGAAAATTCCACGCAAGAAATACTTGATAAATATTACTTTTTTATTATTATTTAATTTGCTAATAGTCGGAAAAATTTCTGAATTGCAAGATATAAAAATTTTTACATCAATTTAATCTACACAAATTTAAGAGATGAAAAGCCAAATTTGAAGTGATTTAGTTTTTGAAAAATAAAAATTCAAAAATTCGATTTCTTTGAGATGGCGAAATTCATAAAAAGTGACATTAACTTCCGAGTTTCCAAAACTTTTGATTGCTCTTCCGCCGTAACTTCTGAGAAAATATTTTCCCCCTCCCCTTCGACACCCCCTCATCCATATTTTGAAGGCTCAGAATTCGAATCAGTCGAAAAAACGAATGTTTATTCAGAGAAGGTGCTTTTTTGCGCTTGATTTTGTAACGTAGAATATCGACTTCACTAATTAATTAGAATATTTAAGATTAGGCTCTTAAACCATTAAGATTAAGTCCTACAGTACGTGGAATTCCAAACGTTGGATCAAAAATTATTCGTTGTATTCTTTTTTTTTTTTCCTGAAAACTTTAATACCTGTAAATGTAGAATACGTAATAAAAAAATGTAATAAGGCTGTAAACGAAGTGTTTTTTATAGCGTGTTAAACTAATATAATATTAACTAGTACCTATATTTGGTCTCGATGAAAACGTTATGTCTCAGTCACAACAGAAATTTTTCTACTTCCTTGCTTAACTACGGTAAATAATAAAACTACTTTTCCTTGAGTTATTTAAGCAAATATTTTTTGATATTTTTATTTCGTTTCAAATGTGATCAATTAAACCCAATTACCAAGTTTTAAAGTTGCATACACCCAGAAAAAAATACTTATAAAAAAAAAATTTTTGGAAAAAGCATTTTTGAAACTTTTTTTAAAATTTCAGTTAAAAAATTTCTTAAGTCACTATATCAACCGCTTTGGTCTATTATTAAGCAAAATAATTTCAATAAATGTTAAATAATAAGGAAGTTACGTCAATACAATTCTCCGTTCGTGAACACACATGAAATAAAATCCCTTTTCTATCTAAAAGGGTACCCTTAATAATAAAGACATTAAATGAGAACATTATTTTAAAGAAATTACCTCTAAGTCTTCTTTTAGAAGTAAAGTCACTATCTCAGAACCGATATAACCAGCTCCTCCAGTTATAAGTACGTGATGAAAATCACGGAATCGGGAGTGTCCGTTACTAATCTCGGTACTCATCATCAAAATTATTGACCACGGGGAGGGAAAAAACTTTCGTTTTTATTTCAAAATTCTTTATCTTTTCAGAAAGGAAAAAAAACATGATAAATTTACTGTGTAAACAAAAGTTAAAATTATGGTTATCATGCGCGAAATCAACACACTCATCTAAGTGATGTAACTTTATCTTAAAAAATTAAGTTCAAAATAGCAACTTTATCGAGTTCTCTTTCATTAAAACGATTACTTATATAAATATGAACCTTCGTTTTTGTGACCAGCAAACGGGACATCATCTACAGTTAATGTCATTAACACCGATTTTTTTCTTTCTAGATAACTATTGTTTGTTTGTTATCGGATTTTCACTGTTCCGTTCCTGTCCTATTTTGAGTCCTTTTCTAGTAATAAATACAATAATAATTCCATCGAATATAATCTCAAAGAGCAAAACCCTAAATATTCGTTAACAGCTGTAGTGGCTCAGGGGATAGATCACTCGCCTCCCAATCAGTTGATCCGGGTTCGAATCCCGGCGATGGCTGGTCGATACGATTTTCACGCCCGGCCCGCACCTACTACTCAGCTCTGTTTCACAAATGCGTGTTACTTCCGTCAAAAAGTCCTCCATGAAGGCAAATTTCTCCTAATACTTGATCGAGGATTTCCTTGTTTTCTGGGTTGTGTTCAAAATTACCAGACTACGGAGTTGAACATGGATAGTCGAAAACTCAAAATTGGGTCAGGTTGGCTGTTCAATGACAGTTATAAAATAAAATATATACAACCTCGGTCGACTATCCTATGCCGGTAATAAAATCAAATATGTACTACTATGAAAAAAATGTACGGAATGGAACTAAATCAAATGGAATTTACTTAAATTTGTGAAATTAAATTCATCGAACTAAAGCATTCATATCGATGACCACGAAGAGGCAATTACAACTGTGAGAATAAGGAGAAGACTTGTAGTGCTATATCAAGAGAATAGGATTCATCTGGAGCCGTATTTGTTGAATGTTTAGTCATAAACTAGTGAATAGCCGCGAAGTTGGAAAGCTCGTTATGATGGTGCAAAACCTATGCTATTTTTTACTCTACATTTCAAGTTGCTGTCAACTAGTTGCTTTACGCAAACTCCGCCAAACATTCAAATAATAATCATTATTGACTGTATGGCTAGTCGGTAGGAATTCGTACAACAAGGTAAACAATCAACATTACCTTGCTTTTGAGCATCACCTTTTAAACGCAGGTCACTGCATTTTTCAGCTGTTTTTGTGTCAAAAGCGTATATTCAAGTTTTATCATCAATAATAATGTGTTTTAAAAAGGAGTTTTCTTGTGAAAACATCTCATTATTGTTTGTGGAACAAATTTGAAATTCATGGAGCAACTGGAGTAACCGACGCGTCTCAATTTTAAATGATAAAATGTTAATTTAAAAATATTTGACAGAGTCTAAATGATATAGAAATTAACAGAGAGAGAGAGATCGCTGATCACTTTCGTCAGATTCTCTAACTTCTTTAAACTTGTTTGCCAACTATATGTTGTTGCTTTTGACAAAGAGTAGTCTTTAAAATCTTTTCGCATTATTCTAAATCGTTTTGTAGCAGAAATTAAATTGCGAAAAAAAAAATTTATGCAGATTAATGTAACAACTTTCGCTATTTTAGAAAATCAGTAGAATAAAAATTCTTCACTCGTTAAACGATTATTTACTTTTAGAGAATAAAAATTAAATTTAATTTAATTTTTATCCTAACAAAATTGTCAGATAAAAATTTGCAGACGATATCCATAATACACAAATTGCAAATGAAGCGTTCTGGATACTTTTTGATTACAGTAGTTGCACGAAAATGGAACAATATGAAAAATGGAATAATACTTCATGGCAAAATACAAAATTTGAGTGAAATCGATTGAATAGTTACTGAGAAATCGAATTTTAAAAAAGTCTTAAATTTTGATTTCTCGGAAACTATTCAACCGATTTCCCTCGAATTTTGTATTTTGCCATGTAAGATTTCATATTTTAAAATGACGTAAAAAATTTTATAACATACTATTCAAAACATTTTCGACTATTATTAGATAAACGAATTTTATAATTGTGTGCAAGAAATTTTCAAATCGCTTAAAAAGTTCTCGAGATATGGTGAAATACGCAAAAAGTGAAATTAACATTAAGGGGTCCAAACTTTGGATCGTTCTCCTGACCAAACTATGAGGACCGTATTTTCCAGATTGCGGCTACCCCTATACCTTGGGAATCAGAAATCTGAATCCGACGAAGAAAAAGCTATGTTTATTCAAAGAAAGTACGTCTTTGTGTCTGATTTCGTAACTTAAAATATCGTCTGCACTAATTAATTAACATTTTTGAGGTGACCCCTTAAACCATTAAGATTGGGTCCTAGAACGTGAAAATCCGATCATTAGTCTTTTTTTTTTTCTTTTTTTTTTTGCGCATTGCAGTACGTCTAAAAAGATCAGATTTTCATTTTTGAACCTGAATCACTAATGGTGGTGCTAACTCTAATTATACTAATTAATGAGTACTTTAAGTTATAAAACTTATAATGAGTACTTTAACTTATAAAATTTTTTCCGCGTCTTTTCTCAGTTAAGTAGAAAATGGCTCTAATAGTTAAGTCAGGAAAGTGGTGTAAGTTAAAGTCTCTTTATGTTTATTTTTGCAAGTTTCGCAATATCGCTAAAAATATTTAAACGAATTAAAAAAATATTATTAAAAAAAATTCATTTGATATTAATATCATGTAAAATTAATTAAAGAGACTTCTTCGCAAATAATTTTGTTGTAAATCATATTTTGTGTTTCAATTTAAGTAAATTTCTAAGTCGCATTCAATGAAAAACCTTTTTGGTGTACATTCAGTGTACAGAGAGCAAAATAACAAAGCGTACACTCTGAATAACTTTTGATTTTATGATTAGATTTTCACGTAAGGAGGATTTAATGGTTCAAGGGCATGGTGGCATTAAATATACGTTGAACAGCCGACCTAATTTTGAGTTTACGACTACCAATGTTCAACTCCGTACCCTTGTAATTTTGAACACGATCCAGAAGACAAGGGAACTCATGGATCAACAATCGGTAGAGATTTGCCTTCGTGAAAGAAATTTTTGATGCAACTAACCTGCATTTGCGTTACATTGAGAGGAAAATCCACTAAGCATATTTAATTTACTGGGGTCGATGCGAGCCGGGTGCGGAATTCGTATCATCCAGCCATCGCTAGGATTCGAACCAAGAGTACATCAATGAGAGGGAAGTGCTCTTTCCCCTGAGCCACCACGGCTCCATTAGAAGGGGTTTATTTTTGTAACTGTCGTTGAACAGCCGACCCAAATTTGAGTCCACGATTACCAATGTTCAACTCTGTAGCCTTGTAGTTTTGAACCTAATTCAGAAGACAAGGGAGCTCCTGGATCAATACCCCCCCCCCCGAGGTATTGATTTGTTATGGGAACTTGAAGGACTTTGTGACCTCAATAGATTTAACGTGCACCAGTCACCATTTTAAACATGGGATTTTTTGCCGGCTTGATTCGAACTCCCGTTCTCACGAACGCTAGTCCAACGCCCTACCTACCAGGCCATCCCAGTCCCATTATAAGGGTGTTGTCGCAATCTTGAAAATATAGTCCATAGAATTTGGTCAAGAGTATGTCGAAAATTTAGACCCTTTAAAGTTAATTTCACTTTTCGCATATTTTGCCATGTTTGGAGAAGTCTTTAAGAGAATCAGAACATTTTTGCACACAATTATAAAATTTGTTTATCCAAAAATATTTCAAGAAAAATATAGTTTATTGCAATTATTTTTCATTTTATTTTATAATAGTCGAAAAAATTTTCAGTTGTATGGCATATAGTCATACAAAATTTCAAGCAGTATAATTTTTAATAACAAAATGCAAAACTTGAAAAAAATAAGTCGTATAATTTTTGATAAACAAAAATTCAAAAATGGACTAATTTTTAAATCTTACGGCTTAAGAATTATTCGACAGTTTCTATTTCAGTTTCAGATTTTGTGGTGTAAAATTACATAAGTAGATAAACGATTTTTATAATTGAGTACAAAAAAAAAATCTATTCGACTAAAAAGCTCTCCCGATAATGCAAAATACGCAACAAGCGATATTAACACTCAAACTTCCGAATGGTGTTTTTGGATCCAAGAATCCACATCCGTTGGGGAAAAAAAAGGTTATGTTTGTTCAGAAAAAATGCGTTTTTTCTCAGCAAAAGTACATTTAGTCGGAAAAAATATTTCCGGACTTCGTAAAACAAATAGTCTGCGAGCAATTTTTTCTACAAATCAATAAGAATATTTAAATTTAGTTTTTTGAATTAATAAGTTTGCCAAATTTAATTTCTTGAATTAATAAGTTGTACAAGAAAATCCAAACATCAAATCAAAAAAAAAAAAAAAATTTTATGTACAAATGTATCTTGACTCATCAGTTTTTATCAGCAAACAAGTTATTTATGTTTGAAGTGCTGATTTACACTGAGATGATACACTTGCACATGATGTCTAAAAACTTAAACCAAAAAAATGCATTACATAACTTAGTACTTACATAATGAAGGTTAAAAATGTTTTATTTCCTACATGGTTGCGAGTTTAATGACTAAAACTCGCAACCATTTTTATTGCAACTTGTCTGGAGCAAGGCTCTTAACAATGTTGCGAGATCTGATAACAACTTTTCTAAACATATTTACAGTGCGGGGGGGATAAATTTTAGATAGCAAATCGCTATCTAAATCAATAATGTTATGGATGAAATGAAATGAAAGACGTAACTGCCATTAATAGTTGATTTTCATAAGAAATGTATTATTAAAATATCTTAGAATTATCTAATCAGTAGTTGCCTATCTATTAGATGCACTGGTCATCTTTAATGTAAATATCGTTAAAAGTATCTATTTCGGTATATTCACGCTCCAAATATGCATATGAAAAAATTATCTTGATCAATGTTGAAATAAACTTTAGGAAGGATTTCATTCAAGATAACTGAATTTAAATAAGTGTTACTATCTGTATCGATTCATAGACTATACTGTAATTATTTCTCATTAATTTATATTCAATAATTAAGTTACATTTTGATTTTTAATTTTTTTTTCAGCAATTGAAACAGAATTTTTTTTCAGCGTGACTTACTCTAAGTTTGCCTAAAGTCACTTTCTCTATTTTTTAAATCAGTTCTGGTGGTGAAACAGAATTTGCGATGAAAAGTTTTTCCCAAGGTATAGCGTTCCCAACAGATCCAAATCTAAGTATTCATATTATGAATATATTATTGGTGGCAGAGCTAACAACTTTCGGAAAAATGAATCCTAATAACAAAACATTTGTTCTATTTTTCTTTTTTTTTCCCTGAGAAGGAACTGTTTTTTAAAAGAATGATTATCAAACTGGTAAAATTTTTGTTTATTGTTGTTGTCCTGTCTATGCATACAGTGCTAGTGCAAAGATTAGAGTCCTCCAAAAGACTTGATAACAAGATTTGCAAGTTTTGGAGATCGGTGGCTATGGAGAATTTCGATGGGGGTGCTCCAAGTTGAAAAAGGGAGCCGATAATGGCCTGGCAGTCAAAAACATAGTCTGGAGTTAGTTTCAAATGAGGACAGTACTTGCAGATGGGATAGGATTTTATATTGGTGCGTGAGAATAAATTTTTGTTTAAATATAGATAAATAATAAAGTTGAATGTTCGTTATTTTTGAAAATGTTTCGGTAATAACTTAATTGCTTACTCAAAATTGGGAAAAGTCGGGGTTACAAATACAAAGGAAGGCCACTAATAGCGAAATAACTCTCAAATCTGTCTTTCCTGCTTTGTGTTGGTTGTTTGCGCTTGCTGTTTGATTATTGTTATTTTCTTTCTATTGTCAATATGCTATGTTCAACTTTATTTTTGTTTAAACGATGGTAGAATGTCGCTATAATTAAAAATTAGATAGCTGGTAAGCAGTTGAAGAAGTTTCTTTGTTCCCACAGTAACAGTATCTAGTCACATTTTCCCCCTTCAAATCACAGGCAAAAAACTATGTCTAAGCTGCTCGAATTGTTAACTGGTTCAGTTCTTTAAACATGAAAATATAACCGTATTTTAAGCTCGTTACCAAAATTTGTAACTAGAAATAATTTTTAAGCAAAAAAACTTGCGTATTATCAGCTAAAAAATAACTGTTTATTTGATAAAAATGCCAAGAGCAGATATCATAGTTTTCAAATTCTAATTATTTTCCAAAATGCATAAGTATTTAATGGCCCTTTTTTTTTGCATATAACATGTACTTTTAAATAGGCAAGATTAATTTTAAAAACAAGAAAACAGATGATTTTCCAATATTGTTGCGATTCCGCTAAATAAGTACATTTTGTCACGGACTCGACTTTAATTTGACGAGGAAGTTTTTGTTCCGTTTCTTTTCGGTAAACTTTGGCCCTTAGCAACTTACAGATCATCATCCCATCCGTAAGTCGAAATTCCCTTATTAAGTTAGATGCAGGTATATTAGTTATATAGGCTTTAATAAGGTCAAAGAAATGTTATAGAATATTTGATTTCCATTGTTGAGTGAGGTACATGATCTAAACACTTATCCAACTCCAACACTTACAAGGAATATTCTACTCTGTTAAGGATGTTTCTGCTTGATATGTTTTATTTTCGAATCGATTTCTATCTTTCTTCTTCGTTTTTTTAATGCTCATCACTATATTATATTGATACAATTTGCTTTGGTTATATTAACACAATATTAGAAAAAACTATTTTGCAGATATAATCGGATGAGCCGATGAGAATACTATATATTTTCGCTGTTTTGTTTTCCTGTTTGGTTTTTTTAAAATTTTATTCGTTATTTTTTAAAGAAATATTTTTTCCCTTGTTTTCCTTGTATTTTTATCATATATANGGCTATTTTAATCTTCTTATCATAAATTTAAAAGATCGACGCTACAGTTTTTAAATCGATATATATATATATATATATATATCGATGTATTTCTGTGTCAGCTGAAAAACAATTACTCACACAAGATATATAAGTAGTTGTTTTTATAAATCTTAACAACATCAATGAATAATTACAAAACTCTTATAAATCATAGGTATAAAATAGGAGCACTAAGTTAAAAATAAAAATGTTCTGAGTCTCTCCCAAGATAGCATATATAAGACACTATTTTAACAAACATATAAGGAGTAATCAAAATGTTTCAAAAGTCTCGATTCAATCTGTGAGCAGTTCATATTAGTTGAGCCAGCCATGCAAAATAATCCTAAGCATTTCAGCAATCATTCCACCTCTTTAGCTGCATGTATAGACACGTGTCATGGAACTTCCTTTTGTGCTGCTTGAAGAAGTTTTAAACTGCCTGCAATATTTCTTTTTCAAGACATTTCTTAAGAGTCTGCTGAGGTGGTAATCTCGTGAAGAGAGATCAGGAATGTAGGGTGGGTGACGGCGTATCTCCTGCATTAGTATGTGCGACTTCAGTGTTTCAGCTTATGCGATATTGGGACGTGCATTATGAAGAATCATCTTATTTTGCAGTTTTCTCTGACGCTTTACTTTAACTGCACGTCGTAATCTCTTTGTCAATTCGCAATTCTGTATCCCATTGGAGGAGATATTATTCATTGCTTGATGATTATTAACCAATTTTCAACTGGCAATAAAGAAAGAATGAAAGAAAAAAAAACACGATGATCCTGTTTGGACTCATTTAGTTAATACACGATTATCGCTAACGCTTCAGCATTTTCCCCGGATATTTCAATGCCACAATTCCATGCCTAGAAATTGATGCTCTCACACCTTCTACGACGACATGCTCATTTGCACATACACTGCAATGGTGCTCGAAACGAAAACTTTTTGATTGCGTTTTATTTGCAAAGTGCAATGGAACATTCCGTGTTTACACATAAATATTTAATTTCTTCAATGCTCATAATAACACATTTTCAGCTTTAACACAAACTTCTAGGCTTAATTTTGGCAATCATAAGCCAATTCTAAAAGAACATTGTGAATGAGTGCGTGCATTATATGAACATTAAAACTTTATAATATATGTACAACTAATTTTCTTTACATAGTCTGTTTTCCAAAAATAACGGCAGTCGATGCCTAATGGCAATGTTATTGTTATTAATCATGGGACCTCAATGTTGCAGAGCTCTTCTCTTTCCCGAAATTGGCGAACGTGGGGGTGTATACGAATCTGATAATTCGCTGTCCGATGATTTTCCTGGGAATTGTCCTCCACCCACTAAAAAGGAAGCTGAACTGCAGTTAAGTACATCTTCAGAAGTATTTCCGGATGATATTCCTGAATCCTGTGATGCTCTTGTAACATTGGTTTTTGCAGTTTCGAAGGATTTCGATTCTATGCTCTCATCTGAGCAGTAAGAAACTGTTGTTGAAGGAATTAAAGGTTGGTTAAAGATGAAATTAGGTATGTCTAAGAGGCTTTTGACCTAAAAAAATAAATAAGGTCAAATATTAAATTTTCTACAGGCTTTTATTTATAATAATATCCATTAATTTAGATAGTTTAATATATATAGATAATATTTGCGATTTTCTACCCTGTGACGAGACGAAACGATTTAAATTGGGAAAAAAACTACATAATTTTTATTTGGTTTAATTTCGATGTTCAGTCTATAAAAATAGATAATAAAAACTATTTATTTAAAATAAAAAGCTATAAAGTTTACTTTCGGTGTTCAGTCATCCATTTGCCTTTTATTTCCAAAATGAAAGTATCTCGTGATAACCATTTTTTTTCTAACATCGTTCGTAAAATCATAGCGTTGGAAATCACGAACAAACATTTGCACGTTTCAAGATTTTTCTTCCACGCGATGATACTCTACAACTTGGTAAGAAAAAAACACTAATTTGCAGTATTCAACCTGGTGACGAAGTAAGTGGTCTCATCTTACCGCACATAGTCACTTTATAATGCATGGGTATCCCTTGTATAATCATAGCAGCAAATGCAGTTACACAAAAGGTAAAACATTACATACTTAAGTGTGTACTTACTACGTAGATAAATCACGTGAAAAAAAGTTAATTAATGGTCACAGTTCAGCGTTATCAAAATTAAATGCACGGACAAAAAAGAAAAATTCCGAGATCTTTTCTTAGATAAAGCTGAGTATGTGGCTATATAGTAATATACACAAAAATACATTTTGAATAAATATATTAAAAATTTAGTCATTTCATTTAAAATGTCGTCATTCATTTATTCAACTCTGCAACGAGTCCTCAAATTTGAAGATACAATTCTGATTATAATTTTTCATCAATGAAACTAGTTGCTTTCCTACCATACAAAGTAATATTTAAGATGTCCGAAAAATTTGGTTCAAAAATTTTAAAATACATGTATTAAAAAATATATTTCAAAAAACGCATTCTATGGCACCAAACTAAACCCCTAAACTCGGATCTGCCACTCGGGAATCACCTCATACTCAGAAGCTAGGGCACTGGTCGAGTTTGCTACCAATAGACGGATTTTCTGAAAATATCAAATATCAATTTTTTTTTCGATCATGCACTCATTTTTCAAGATATCTTCATTTTAAACAATGTGTACCCTCCTTTCACTTCGGAAATTCCGCGCCATCATTGAATCATAATGCAAAACCCTACAGGTCAAAATGGGTTACTTTTTGTAAAAAATCCAAACTTGCAATAAAAAAAAATGAGGTTAATCACTGGATTAGGTAGAAGTGCAAGTTTGGTACCATTGTTTGCATCTTTAAAAAAATATTGTACCTATGCATTTTTAGATTTTTTGCCAATCGCACTGTGTAAGGGTCAAGGAACTGGCCTTGCATCAGAAAGGTTCTGGGTTCGAATTCCGGGCAAGGCATGGATGTTCTTTCATTCACTGTACTAACTGTCCTTAATGTGGGAGCAACGTTGACCCACCTAATATGGGGCCCCTGAAAGAGTGACCAACATATCTACCGATCAGATGCCTATATTGACAAAAGGTCATTCCCCTGGTGGGCATTGGAAAAAAAAATTTTTGATCACATGCGTATTTTTTTGGAGATATTTTACCATTTCAATACTCATAAGACATTCTATATAAAAGGTACAGAGAGAAAGAAAGTTCTAAACTTTCGCAGGTTCTGAACTCAGGAAAAAAAAATTGTAAAGGAAACATTAGAATAGTTTGATTTGTTACCTGTCTTGGTGGAACTTTGTAATAATCTTCAGGACCTTCTCCATCTTGTGAAGTGGCTGGAATTAACCAGCCTGCTATTTCTGCTAACTCCTTATCATATTTACCACCTTTTTGTTCGATGTGCACAGTCAAAATCTGATGAATTGTTGACGCAATGGACTGAAGCATGGCAACTGCCTCTGGACAGTACATCAATATTTCACCTTTACCTGTAGAACTATCACTGAAACCAAAAATTAAAAATCAATTATTTCATAAAAAAATTATTCATTTCATAGTCTTTAAAGCGTCAAAGTAATATTCAAGATTAAAATAAGGGAATTTTTTTATCTTCCTTTTTCTTCATTATAAAATTAATAATAGAAACATTTTTGGATTACGAAATTATTTACAACTACAGTAAGTATACGTATAAGAATATACACAATTAGGTAAAAACAAAAAATGTAGTATGTAAGGATCAGCCTAAGTTTATGCTGGATGCTGGTTAGCAAAAGGACGAAACAGTAATGGAAAACTGTTCAAATCTTCATTTTGTGCCGTAACTAAATTACCTGTTAACTGAGCTTAATACCAATAGCTAAGTATTTCTCTCATAAAGGCCTCATCTTTGCTCGGAATATATATTTGCACACTCTGCATATAAAGTATATAAAAGATATTTAAAAATAGTAAAAAGTAAGTGATGTAACAGTGAGGTAAACACTTGTCCTGCCCATAAAACATTTTAAACCTACTTTCTCGAACTGAAAAAGCAACTTCTTTCATAATTTCAAAAGGTGAAAAGGTTCACGGTCCTACAGTGGACTGATCGTAAGACACATAAGACCAAAGTCAATGGCTGTGGTCAGTGATCGAATGAGTGAACACTTTAATCAGCTTGTGAAGGGAGCGCAGCATCAATCCTCGTTAAACTGTTCTACCGTAAAGTGCTCGACTTTAAGCGCAGTTCATCGGGCTCCCAAAGCGGGGAGCCTTCCCCTCCGCAAAAGATCGAAACTGTGATGGCATGTCTTTGAATATATCTCAGGGATATTTCTTAAATTTTATTTAATTTTATAACCGTCGTTAAACAGCCGACCCGATTTCCAGTTACGGTTCAATTCCATAACCTTGTAATTTTGAACATACATAAGACAAGGGAAGTCCTGGATTAAGTAATGAGGAAAATTTGCCTTTGAGGACTTTTTGATGGAACTAACCCGCATTTGTGTTACATGGTGAGGAAAACAACGAAATCCTCTAGTGGTTAGCTTGACGGTAAGGGCACTCTAAACCGTGATACACCAACCACTGAGGATATTTTACGTCAGCACTGCGGTCGGTGTGAGCCAGGTGCAAAATTCACATCGAAAAGCCATCGCTGAGATTCGAACCTGGGTAACCTAGTTGGGAGGCGAGTGCTCCCTCCCCTGAGCTACACGGCTCCAAGTTTCTTAGATTTTGGTTAATAGCCCATTATGAGCCGTGATGGCTCAGGGGATAGAGCGTTCACCTTCCAAATAAGGTGAACCGGGTTCCAATCCCTGTCGATACGAATTCCGCATCCGGCTTGCATCGAACATAGCGCTGATGTAAAATATCCTCAGTGGTAGACTGATCATGGATTAGAGCCCTTTGCCGTCTGGCTAGCCGTGGGATATTTTCGTGATTTTCCTCTCCATGTAACGCAAAAAGTCCTCCAAGAAGACAAATTTCTCCCAATACTTGATTCAGGAGTTCCCTTGTCTTCTGGATTGGGTTCAAAATTATAAGGCTACGGAGCTGAACATCAGTAGTCGTAAACCCAAAAATTGGGTCGGCTGTTCAACAACTGTTATATAATAGCCCATTATGCAGCTGCTACGCAAATACAAAAGAAACAAGCAAACTTTTAGTTTTCTCGCCCTACCGATGAAATCTGTATCTGATTTTATAACTTCCAGGTGAAAAGATTTTGTTGCAGATGTCCAGCTGCATATAATAGCTTTTTACAAGAGCCATATATTCAATAAAAATACAAAATATTTTCTGTACCTACCTACAAGTTGTCATACACAGTACTTTGTGAGCGTCTTCTATTTTGGGCTGAGATATCAATTCAAATTTATCCACCGTGTTCAAGTACCATTCCTGGATAACATATCCTTGTTGTGAATGGACAAGAATTAGTTTTTTCCCCGTGATTGTCAAATAGCCGTACATTCCTAACAATCCAGCTCGAAATGAAAATTCGTTGTCAACTATTGAGATTTCAAACTGTTTTCCATACAGCACTAAAAACAAAAAGCAAAAAAAAATATAGCAATTATTCACAGCAAATGTTGAGAGTACAATTATGGAAGAGCAAGAAAGTATTTTACTATTTCTAGTTTTGAATGAGATTTTTTTAATATAAAACCTGCCAACTAGAAAGCAGCGATTTACACACTTTATGGTTAATTATCACGGTTTATTATTACGGTTTATTTCTCACGTATCATCTGGAAAACATCCTTAACAAGGGTTCTTTTCATTATTTTTAATCTGAATTACTCATATCAATGAATGACTAATAATATTAATTAATTACCTGTGCAAGATTTAGAAAAAAGGAGTTTAAAATTAATATATTTCGCTTTAAAATCAGTTGATATTTACATTTATCAGAATTTAATATGCTCTCAATCCCTTTAGTTTTCTGAAATTCGCCTTTCTATATTAACAAAAAAAAGCATTCATACAATTTTAAAGCACAGGATGGATGAAAATATAACTGTCCCCAATCACGAGAAAAAACTTTACGTTAATAAGAAGCTATTAAGAAAAGTTCAATCAATAAAATGCTTTGGAACAATATCTTCGTTTCTTCGATATTCTTCTGAAACTATACCTTTGTAAGGTGGGGGCAGTTAATATTCCAGTTAATTTGATAATTAATAGATTGTTTAGTTATTTTTGATCATTGGTGGAAACTGAAGTAAACACAGTATACAGATTATAAATATTTAAGCGAAGAAAAAAAAACTCTAGATAGGCACTGGAAAAAAAAGTTTAATTTCATTATGAATCTTGTTTCGGTTTTTACTAAACACTGTTCAACTTCTCCTTGTTTTCTCCGTCAACTAAACAGAATTCGCAGTTTTGGGGGCTCATCAGTAGTGATTCACAGTCTTTCGATTGCACTGGTATATTATCCCAGTTTATATAGTAATTTGAAATCCTAAAAATGTGTATTGTTCTTTTATTTCATTCTTAACGGGAAATCTATCATTATGGTGGTTATTAAAGGAATGCCAAGTGTGTTTGATGGTTAGGTGAAAATTTCCGAATTTATATTAAGTTATACAATTTAAACCTTTCCTAGAATTATCCTCCATATTTGACAGAAACAGAACATGCAAACAATGTTTCAATTTCTCTTCCCTCCTATCCATTCCCGGCAAACTGCATTCGGGGAGAGGGATGACAAATTTTAGTACTACAAGCAGAGCCGGATTATACCTTTTGTAGGCCCTAGGCATAGCCGTTTTTGGGCCCTCCCCTCTTTTCAAAATATATGCTAAAATTTTCTTGCATATTTTTTTTAACATTTTTATTAATATGGATTTTAATTTACAAATTTGTTTATCGAACTTTATCTGCAATGTATCTTCATACTTTTGTGCAGAATACACTTGTTGTTTTTAAAGCTAAATTATTCTTGTCAACAAATTTTTTTCTCCCAAGTTTTTCGTAGGCCCTAGGCACGTGCCTAGTGTGCCCACAGGTTAATCCGGCCCTGACTACAAGTAAAACTAACTTTTTTCCAGTTGCAGAACAGGACTGGGTGGCCACAGGATTGATCTGATGGCTGCCATCCACTCTTGACTGCTTGTCTCACTATCTGCAGCTAAATGAATGATGACTTTGTTATCGTCGGAAAGAGTGAAAGCGTATTTGTGTGAACGGGAGGTACTTCGATACACAGCAGCCTTGTGGCAGGATATGGACTTCCAGAAGGTAGCCCCGTGTTTTCTTGCTGTTCCACTCTCTGCACTATACAGACTCAGCATCAGACAAGGATTCTTAGGGTCATTCACAAATTCATCTGTCTGGATGGAAACACAACGCTTCTTCCAAGCCTAGAATGTTAAATGGTATAAACTAAAGCAAACAATAAAACTAATATCTTAAATTGTATTCATGATTCTGTTCAGCTATCAATTTCTTAGTTATCCCTTGGGACAATAGTTGTACTAACAAAATTACGTATTTTCTGTTGCTCCAGAATCGTCACCTATATGAATGNATCGCCCCCCCCCCCCCCCGTGGATTCTCTAAAGACAACAAACTTTGATTCGTTCGTTCTCGGTAAAAAAAACTTTAACTACTCATTTAATATTAAAAGAAACTAACTATAAAAAGCTACACATTTAATATAACTGCTAAGTCATAAGTCACTCAACATTTTTCATTACTATGACTGCCTTCCGGTTTCAAAATTAACTCAAAATTACCAGCTGCAGTGTTTCCACTGTTAAAATTGTTTTCTGTTGAGCATGACAGATGTTTTTTGCTGAGAGCGTTTCCTTCCACATTTAAATAAAGAAACATCAACTGTTTTTTTAATTTTTTTTATTTTATTTTTTTTTAATAAATAAGTTTAGATTTTTCACGTCATTAAATCTGAAATCGAGGAATTGTTCATGTAAGATGAACTTACTAATTAAAATGTTTTCTCCTAGAAAATTAAACGAAAATAATAATAATCAATAACTGTATAGAGTTCAATTATAAACAAATGCTAAACTCGATTAATAGAAAAAATTTAAGGTTAATTTGATCAAAAAATTCTTTAGATGAGCTTATCATATTTATTCTGGTTTGGTAAAAATTTATTCAAATAATTTTACTTTCAATCTTATTGAACGTTTCGTTTCGACTTCACAATTAAATAAGAACTATTCTTATAAAGTTGCACTGCCATTTCTTACATGTTTCATTTAAAATTTTAAAAAAAGCGTCTTATGTCGCTATTATGATTTTACAAAAAAAGAAAAGAAAAGAAAGAAAGGATGTTTTAGCATATTTATGAAAATCGATCACAATTTCAAAAAACTATTCCACTGCTAATAAAAAAATTATCTAGTGATAAGGAAATTGTGATTTTTATCATTTTTAATATATCTTCTCATAAAGTTTATTGAGGCGAACTCATTTTTTCTTTCATAATTTGTTTTAAAATTATAAATTTTTTCTCAGTTTTTACAATTTGAAAACAGTATGCTGTGTATACATAACTTTCTGTAACAAAAATTAATTTAGTTTAACCTTTTTTTGTATTTATTGCTTAATGTGTTAATTTGGGTACAAAATTGTTTGCATCCATTATGTTTCATTAATTAGTAAGTTATTGTGTAAGAACATTTTAATTTTCAGAACTTAATTTATAAATCAGTTTTATATCTAATTAAATCCATGAACATTTTTTTTATTGTAGTGCTCCATTAAAAATACAGAACTATAAAAACCTTGATATTAAGAAAAAGAATGAAAAAGAAAAAATATGAAAAAGAAAGAAGGAAAGAACAAGGAGAAAAAAATATTGACTGAAATCGATATCATTTATAAAATTATTATTATATTTTTTACGTTTTTCTTCTTCTTCTTTTTTTTTATTTTTATTTTTGTTTCACAAAATAAAATACGCAATAACAATGGAATCTTTCATTTCCTTTAAAACTTGTTTCCTGAATTAACAATAATTAATGGAAAATCATTTTTTTTTTTTTGAAACAAACGGAAGAGAAAAAGGAAGACAAAACAGACAAATTCTCAAAACAACACTGAGTTGGAGCCAAGAATCACACCCGAGTGAAAAATAGCCATAGGTAATATCGCTTGGCTAAAGAAAAACAAGTGATCCACAAGCTTGATCAAACCACTTCAAACGTGGATCATTTTATAATCGTCATTGAACAGCCGACCCAATTTGGGATTTACGACTACCAATGTTGAACTCCGTAGCCCAGAACCCAATCTATAAGACAAGAGAATTTCCTGGATCACGTATTGTGGCGAATTTGCCTTCCTGGGGGACTTTTTGATGGAATTAACCCACATATTTGCGTTAAATGGAGAGGAAAAGCATGAAAACCTCCCACGGTTAGCCTGATTGCAATGAGACTCTAACCTATGATCGGTCTACCACCGAGAATATTTTACGTCACCACTGTGGTCGGTGCAAGCCAGGTGCGGAATTCGTATCGACTAGCCATCGCTGGGATTCGAACCCGGTTCACCCCTTTGGAAGGCGAATGCTCTATTCTCTCAACCACCACGGCTAATGCAGTTCATTCAACATGATTCATTCGATATTTCATGATAAAATTATTTAGAAATGCGGTTATTTATCTGGACAATTCTTTACAGTAAATACACTTTTGAAAATTCGGCTGACCTTCCTGTAGAAAAAATGGTTTAAAAATCAGATTAATTTTAGGTAAAAAGTTAAACTAATATTTTTCCATAAATCAATCTCTGTCCCAAAATTATTTTCACATAATATTACAGGGACAAAAATTTTCCCGTGAAAGTTAATAGCATATTTAAAGTGTGCCTTTCGAACCATTAGGATTCCGATTTTAGAATATATAAAATTCATATAATGCGGTCACAAAAGTTATAAATTACACTTATTATTGCAGTATTTATTTATATATTTTTCATTATTTAATGTACGTACATGATTATAATGAAACCATTGTAATTTTTCATTAATTTCTTACATATCAATATAAGCTGTAGAAACTTATATTCACGTGATTCAATCTATACGTAATTAATCGTGTAATTTTCATTTATCTAAATTGAGCAAGAATTAAAAACCATGACAAATTTTTTTATGGTTTTATCAGTCAAAGCAAACTTCAATGACGAGCATTGAGATAATAATTGGAAATTACTAGTTTTTCTACCTGCAACCTTGTATTCTTTTTTTTAATCATAACACTTGTACTTTGTTATCTGAATTCATACTAAATTAGATTTATCAGTATTAAACAAAAGATGCTTTCATTTTTATCACCGATGGAATCCATTTTTTTTTTAGTTTATAACAAAACAAAATCTAGTAAACTTATTTATTTAAGATATTTTTTATTTGAAAACTATTTTTCGTTCTTATATTATAGTTTATAAATATATGGAAATGTAAAAATTTGTAAATAATTGCAGCTTAGATACCACATCTTAAGCGAACAAGAATTATGTAACTTTCAAACAATTTGAAAGATTTAAAAATTTCCAGAAAGATAAAGGTATTTTTGTAGGTGTAGTAGATAGGTGGTATTTCTATAGGAGCGAAATAAAAAACGGAACATCCTGAGTAACCTTTGATCTAATGACAGGATCTTCGCTTTCTAGACTCAAACTTAAAACGTTTGAGAGGGTGACCTCAATTATGCTAATTAATTAATCTCAAAGTTAATTAAAAAGTTTTTTTTCTCTAGAAGTCGATTTCTCAGGAACTATTCGACCGATTTCGCTCATATTTTGTATTTTGCCATTTAAAAACAGATTTTTTAAAATAATGAAAAAAATAAATTACCTTTTCAAAATATTTTCCGACTATTACTGGATAAAATAGTAAATATTTTTTAATTTGGATAAATGAATTTTATAATTGAGTGCAGAATTTTTTCATTCATCTATAAAGTTCTGGAGATATGGCGCATACTCAAAAAATAAAATTAGCATTAAGGGGTTCAAATTTTGGATCGATCTCCTATATTGTTCAAAAATCCAAATCTGCAAAAAAATAAAAGTATGTTTATACAGAGAAAGTGCGTTTTTGTGTCTGATTTCCAATTATATATATTACCTGCATTAATAAATTAACACTCTGCTTACGGCACTTAGCATGATAAAGCCATTCTGGTCTACTTATTGTACCAGCTTTATAATTTTATTTAATAACCGTCGTTGAACAGCCGACCTAATTTTTTGAGTTTACGACTTACTACTACGACGACTACAATTTTCGAATTCCGTATGTTTTTAATTATCACATGTCCTTGATTGATTTTATTTTATTTTAAAACCAACCGTAGTTGAAAAACAGACCCAATTTTTGGGTTTGTGACTACCAGTAGTCAACTCCGTAGCCTTGTAATTTTGAACCCAATTCAGAGGACAGGGGAACTCCTGGATCACGTATTGGGAGAAATTTGCCTTAGTGGAAGACTTTTTGACGGAACTAACCCGCATTTGCGTTGCATGGAGAGAGAAACCACGAAAACCTCTCACGGTTAGCCTGACAGTAAGGGGATTCTAACCCATGATTCGTCTACCACTGAGGATATTTTACGTCAGCATTGTGGTCGGTGCAAGCCGGATGCGAAATTCGTATCGACCAGCTATCGCTAGGATTCGAACCCGGTTTACCTCATTGGAAGATGAACGCTGCATCCCCTGAGATATCACGGCTCTATTGTATCAGTTGTGAGCAAAGGGTTAATATATTTGAGATCACCCCCTCGAACCCTTAAAATTGAGTACGTATAAAAGCGGCCCGTTTCTTTTTTACGCACTGTAGATGCACTTAAGGATGTGTTAATTATTTTAAGTTAGAATTTGAAATAATTGTAATAATCGTAGCTTATTTACTATTCTTTTCATTGCTCTTTATGGAAGGCATGGAGGGGTGAATTCAAATTACAAATAATTATTAAAAATGAAAATTTTATATACAAGTTGTAAGTTTAATAAATAAGTAAAATTTTGTGAGTTTTTCCCCTTTTCCGAATTTTTCAGTTAGGAAGTAATTTTACCTTTGAAATTAACTTTCTCATTTTAAGTAATTATTTCATTTTATTTATCTATATAATTATCTTTTCCTGTAAAAATTTTTATTATGCACAGTTCAGTCACATTAATGTGACCACCTGTCAAAAGCCAAAATAACCACCTTTCATAGAACGGACCGCTGCGAGACGTGCAGGAAGGCAGTAATTTAAATTCGTGAAGGTGTACGTTGGGATGCTGGGCGATGCCAACTCCATTGCGGTGACCAGCTGCTCTAGGTACGTGGTTGAAGGTCCATGACGCGAACAACCTGATCAAGATGATCCCACAGATTCTC